ACTAAATCAATAGCTTTGATTTAAAGAAAAAAATGGCAGAGGAGCAAGACATGGAAGCAGGAAAGTAAGTCAGAAAGAAGACACAAGCAGAGGAGACTGGAAATGGGAGACCAAAGGAGAAGAAGAGAGCATATCCAAAGATAAGGAAGGGAAAATCATTTTAAATAAGGCAAAAAGTGCATTGACTTGTTACAGATGAAAAAGAAGAAGGGAAGACAACAGGGGAAAGAGAAAGGTAAGGGGACAGGAGCACAAGGAGTAGAAAGAGGGGGAAGGAATGGTGAAAGGAAGAGAAGCATGGAAACCATGATGGATTCCTGAGAAAAGAGAATGGAGAGGAAAGAAGGGATAAGAGAGGGGAAGAATGGGTGAAAGAAAGAATATGTAAAAGGAGGAGAATATGGAGAATGAGTAACATTAGAAGGCAAGGGAGATGGGTAAGGAAATAAGTGGAGAGAATGGCAGGAATTGGAGGAGGGATCAGGAAATGATGGTGGGCTGAAGTAACTCACGCTGGGGAACAGTATGTGGAAATGTGACAAGTTATTAAAATTAAAAAGATGGAGTTTCCCTAGGTGAATAACCTGATAGCATCACTTTTTCCCTCATAGATTTTTTTTCTGCTGTCCCTTCTCCCACATCAGTCTGTGTCAGTTGAAAGTTTAGCCCTGTTGTTTAAGTGAATTCTACCCTGTTAAATGCCTCATGCTCCATCCTGCAGAGGGTCTGAGCAGCAGGGGCTCTGGTTAGTCTCCCTTAGGCATTGCTCTGACACCTTGACACTGCAATGGCCCATCACCCCCCTGGCACCACTGCTGGACTCCATTACTCATCCTGCCCCTGTATTCCCCTGGGATGAATTTGCAGGTGGTTACAGACACAAGCTCTATGAGACGATCATTCTCCACCATCCGGGACAAACGTACCAACAGCTCCTGGCTGGATGAGTTCTCCATGGAGCGAAGTAGTGAGAACACTTACAAGTCTCGCCGGCGCAGTTACCACTCCTCGCTACAGCTGTCTGCTCGCCGCCTGAATGCAGACTCAGGTTAGCAGGGTTCCTTGCCAGATTCCTCTCCACCAGTTCCAAAGTCTTGTCCAAGGGAGGAATTCACTCCTTTCTAATGTCAGGCAATGTGTACACTATGGGGGTTGAGGACACTATAACTACAATGATACTGCAAAGTCAGCTGGGTCCCCGGTATAGATACAGCTCTCCTGACAGAAGGGTTTTTTCTGCCACTACCCCTATACCAGGGGAAAGTGCTGCAGGCTGAACCCATCTTTGGTGACCACAGCTGCATCCTTGCTGAAGCTCTTGCAGGCAGAGCTACATTGGCTACAGGGTGTGACTTGTGATGAAAAGTTTGTGAGCCAGAGTGATACAGAAGCTGGAAAAGGGAAGGTTATCCTATACCAGGAGACTAAGAGTTGGAGAGAGGGAAGAGGGAGGCAGAATGAGCAGTGGGCAGACTGGGGAAGAAACAGTGTTCTACAAAAGAAGATCCCACAGTCCAAGGGTTTCCAAAATGAGGTGTCAGATCAATTGCAGGGGGCCAGCTGGTGTCCAGTGTTCCAGTCTTGGCTTGGAGACCCCTCCAGCTGAGGCCTGGTGTAGTGTTCCTCCAACTGAGGGAATCTATGAGCATCTTGATTTCACATTTCTATGGTTAACTCCCAACCACAGCCTCAGCCCAAGGCCCTTCTGGCAAACTCTTCTGGTTATAGGGCTGTTCCTGACCTCCTGTTGCTCTGGTCCCTGCCTTCTTGACTGGCAGCAGCATGCATTGGAGTTGCTTAACCACTAAGTACAAGGCCTGGAGCTGCTACACAGATAAAGTCCAAAGGGGGATTTGGAAAGAAAGGGAAACAAGGTCTGTGGACCAGGTTGCAAATAAGTCAATAGAGGACTCAATAATCCTGAGTGAACTGGATTCCAACATGCCCAGGGAGTCGGTGGACTGGGACAAGGATGTGAGTCACATGGGTTCGCCCCTTTACGTGTGACAAGCTGCAACATTCTGTATATCCTGTGGTCTGGAGAGCTCGGACTTGGCAGAGCCAGAGGAGAGGGAGTTTCTGAGTTAAGGCATGGATGAAAACCATAGCCAAGCTGAAAGTGAGGCAGTGGCTTGCATCGGCATGGTTGTGGAGGTGGTGGTAGGCACATTTACAGGCAGAGGAGATGTGGGAGGAGAAGGAAAGTTCAGATGCCAAGATTATAGACAGCAGAAGCAAACTGGAGGTCTGTGCCTAGAAAGGAGGTAGAGTTGTGTTTCAGGCTGCCCAGGCAAAGCATTTCTCTCTCAGATGCTGATTTGATAGAAGCTGAGACACTGTTATAAAGCTTGCTTAGTTAAAACCGGTAGTAAGTACCAAGGAAGGGGGAGGCTCACTACACATGCAGAAAGTTTCATGCAGCCAAGTATATTGAGTGGAAAAGTGATCCTGGAGGTAAATATACATGGATAGCTGAGAAGCCCAAGAAGGCATAAGGCAGGAGCAGGATGAGAACTGAGTCTTACAGGAGTCCATCAAAGTGATATCTTGACATGGAAGATTTTGTCACCAGAGACTAATAATTTTGTCCCCAGAGATTCACCAGGGTCTAATAAGGAGAATCTTTATCAGAGGGAAACACATAGCTTTGCCAGTGGTGTAAAAGGATATAATGGTCCACTGGGTTGAAGAATGAACTGAGAGTGAGGAAGGAGAAAGACATTAGAGACAGCAACCACAGAAAGAGGTCATTAATTTTATGGAGGAGAGCAGTCATCATGCTGTGACAAAACAACTCCAAACTGAAGACAGCCCAGGACAGTGTAGTATGAGAGGGAAATGAAGGGATTGCAATTGCTTGCTAAGGCACCTCAGTGAGGAGTCAAACCATGGTCAGAGGAAGGCCTTGTAAGAAGATGCTGAGCACTGCAGATGGACCCCTCTTGTAGTGGGCTGCAGGGAGTCTCAGGAGTCAGAGGTGTGGAGGCAGCAACATAGATTTGTGGGGTGGGAACAATACGTTTCCCTTCTGCAGGAGGACAAGGGCATTCTTGGCATTAGGGTTAAGGAGACAGCCTCCTCCTAGAGTGGTTATGACCTTGGACTTGGACTTCGAATAGATCAAAACATTCACTGTTGGCTTTCAAGAAGAGACTGAACAGGTATCTCGTCTGGTATGGTATAGGTCCAGCACAAGCTGCATCTGGGCAGGGGTGAGACTAGGTGTCTTCAAGTCCTTCCCAACCCTGTGACTGATTCATTCTGTCCCACTGTGGGCCTCTGGGAAATCTTACTGCCTGCCTTTGTTCTCCCCAGGCCACCGGTCTGATACACATCGTTCAGGTGGCAGAGAACGAGGGCGATCCAAAGAACGCAAGCACCTGCTGTCTCCAGACATCTCCCGCTGCAACTCGGAGGAGAGGAGTCCCCAGGCAGACTGTGAGTCTCCAGAACGGCGGCGTCAATCCAGATCACCCAGCGAGGGAAGGTCGCAGACGCCCAACAGGCAGGTAGGGATGAATTCAACAGAGCAGAAGCTGTCACTCGAGACAGGGATCATGAAATGGGAGAAAGCAAAAAATCATTGGCCTCTGAACTCAAGAAAATGAGTCTGTCTGCTCCATCTCTGGGGCAAGAGGCCTTTGGGTTGTGAGGAGTATATAGAATACTACATTAGTGCTGCCAAACCCTAGCTGCATTTGGAGCTCCATTGCTTAGGTGCCCTTTAAAGGTCCCAAGGCACAGGCCTGTCTCCAAGAGTGTACAATCAACATAGACAAGACAGACGAGTGGCTGGGAGGGAAGCACAGGCACAGAAACATGAATGATTTGCTCCATGTCACAAAGCAGGTCAGGGTGGAGCCTTGAACAGAACCCAGGGCTCCTGAGTCACTCAGATACCCTACACATTAGGGCATGGTACCTGCTTTGTTCAAGGACATTGTTGTATCATCAGAATTCAAAGCGCAAGGTCTGCAGTCAGGAAAAACCAGTGCCCAGAAGCATAAGTGCCCTTCTATAAACTGACTACACTTACAAGTAGCTGTAGGTGAGAAACAGTCCCCAGGCCTCCAGGCTACTGCTCTAAGAAGCCCGTGCCACATACAAAATGCCCCATCATTAAACACTGCATTTTCTTTCTGAATGCAACTGTCACTCTGGATACATAACCTGCTTCTCCACTGCCTCACCCCTTGTGCAGTTATCAGCAATCATGTCAAGTGTGTGTTTGGGTCTCTTGAGTAAAATGTTACCCCCTCTTTATATTGGAATAAATAGCTAAATAAGGTGCAGGGCAGAAGAAAATCCGGCATCTGACATGTAAAAGGGATTGGTCAGGGTATTTCTTCCATTAGCACTGACACAATTCAAGGGGATGTGTCATTGTTGCCACTTCATTTTTGTGAATTGTGAATGGACAAATGGATGATCATGAGGCCCAAAGTCTACGGTTATGAGATCGCTGAAGGAACCTGGGAGGAGCTGATCAGGAAACAGTTTCCATCTCCCTGGTCCCTCTGCTCAAACTTCACCAGGCCTTGTTCTCCCTAGGAGAAGGCTTGTTCTTATCTTGAGTTAGCCTCTTACTGCAGACCATGCCTTGTGTGGTTTGCATACCACTGAGCAGGCCAAGATTTAGGACAGGCTTTCTCATGCTTAACTCATTTTAAGAACACATCTTCTTTCCTAGAGAAGGTACAGCACCAGGAAGCTGATTTTTTTTTTCAGGGCTCTGATGGAGCAGGAAACAGTTTTTGACCCAGCTCTCATCCTCTTCCATTTTGCAGAGCACAGGTTCCTTGAGTGAAAGCTCCATCCCCTCTATATCTGACACCAGCACCCCAAGGAGAGGTCGCCGGCAGCTCCCTCCTGTGCCGCCCAAGCCACGGCCTTTCATCTCGTACACCTCCATGATGCAGCATGCTGGTGACACCTTCCCACAACCTGACGAGAGCGAGGGTGGGTCCCCTCTGCTTTCCAAGGCTCTGGAGACGAATGACACCTGCCTGACCGAGTCTTCCAGCTCTCCGCAGGGAAAGCAGAGCCGGCACTCCACCCCACAGCGCTACATCTCAGAGCCCTACCTGGCCCTGCATGATGACTCCCACGCCTCAGACTGCGGCGAGGAGGAGACACTCACCTTCGAGGCTGCTGTCGCCACCAGCCTTGGCCGCTCCAACACAATTGGCTCAGCCCCTCCGATGAGGCACAGCTGGCAGATGCCCAATGGGCATTACCGGAGGAGGAGGAGAGGGGCGGCACAGGGGGTGATGTGTGGGGCTAGCATTAATGTGCTAAGTGATACGGAGGAAGATGACAAGTGCTAGAGGCCGCTGCCCCCTCCAATGCATGCTCTTCGCCACGCCTGGGAATGAAATGAAACCAAAATCAAATGCAGGAGAAACAAAATTCTTTGTGCAAAAAAAAAAATGTCAACCCCTGGATTCCTTTTCTTCTTTCCTTTTTTTTTTTTCTGCACAGAGGAGCAGCATTTGATTAGCTTGTGCAACCATGGCCTGGTCAGCTGCTTGTGCTGGTGAGATGAGTGTGAAATGGCCCCTCCCAAGAGAAATGGGACTGCGTGCCTAGGGGAATCATGAGTGTACTTCCCTCTGCTGCAGAGAACACAGCAGGAAGAAACTAGGCCCCTGGGGTTTGTTTTTTATCATCCTTTGCCCCTTGAGGCTTGGCCAAAAAAAAAAGAAACACAACCCCAGCAGGTGGCTTTAGGCACGTTTTATTTTTCCCTTGGGAAGCCAGAGAGCAGATGGATAGAGGCAGACTCAGGGCCCTTCAAGAGGTGCACACACTATTGCTCAGGGCCTTTGGCACTGCCTGGCATTTTTGGTTTGCTTCCCAAACATTTCAGCAACAAAACGGAAAGGAGGAATGTGTTGGGAGGGGAGGGGCGCAGGAGCAGGATCATTTGGGTTCAGCGACAGACAGCAGCTGCTGTGCACGATGGAAGGCGATCAATGTGAGTGAAACCAAACCAAAATGGCTTGTACCATGGGGAGATTAAAGGGGAGGGGGCGGGTAGGAAATGGTGCTGCTGATTGTAACCCATCTCGCTCGTACATATATTTATTTATATACCAAGAACTATAGGTGTGTGTGTATATACGGTATGTGTGTGTATATATATTTATATGCTGTATATATAAAGATATACACATACATGTGTTTGTTTTAGTAAACTGGCATGTGATCTAACCAGGGCCACCCTCACCCAGAGGTTCCCAGGACAGTAGATGAGCTCTTTTATTGACCAAGGTGCCAAATACGAGTTTTTCCTTCCCTGAGTCCTGATCACATAGACAAACCAGGTGGGATGAGGCCTCTCTTTCACTCTGCCTGGAGGGTGGCAGACAAGCTTTTATGACATGAAAAATGTAGTGAATGGTAGATCTGAAGCAAAAGGAGGAGCTGCCACTGTGACATTACTGAGGGTAGTGGTTGTACTGCTGAGCCATTATTTTTGCAACTAGATTGACTGCCAGCTAGACTGAGGATCTGACGTTGTGCCAAGGATGTTACAGCCACCTGTTCTAGTGCCAGTGCTGTGCAGTCCTCTCTGGACTGTGTGACCATAGGATCTAGAAGGCAGGGTAGGGTGGTACTTTGGAGGCTACTCATGGGATGCAGAGAAAGGAGTGGGAACATCCAGTACCCCAGTACCTCCCTGCTCCCTCTTGTGAGCATGGCTGGCTTGGCATCATGTTTTCTCTCGCCCTTACCGCTCAGGTGCTTGTCACTGATGCATGGAAATCTCTGTGTACTCAGTGTCCGATATAAAGCCCTCTGATGGCAGCAAAAATCTGCCTGCAACTTCAGTGGGCTTTGGATCGGGTCCTTGTTGATCCCTCTGTGCCTGACACGTTGTGCATTAGCAAACTGTTTTGGCGTGAATGAGTAGACTGAGTCCTACTGGTTCACTCTAGTGCCTTCTGGCATTGATTTTTAGGAGAGCGGGGCAGAGGTAGCTCTGAATGCTGCCAGAAAGATATGGTGCCAGCCATGGTTAAATCAGTTAGGAATAGGCAGACAGTTTGAGAAGCAAAGCCCCTCCTGAGCCTCTCTCAACAAGAACACAAAAATGCCATCTAGCCAGTATCCTGTCTCTGAACGTGGCAGAAGAGGATGCTACAGAGAGAGCGCACTGAACTGGATATCTCTAAAGTGATCTATCCCCTATTCAATACCCTCCACCATTATTAGTTTAAAGATGCTGTTCAACAGCCATTAATAGATCTACTATCCATGAGTTATCTAGTCTCTTTTTGAACTTGGCTATGCTATCTGCCTCTACCACCTCTTGTGGCAATGAATTCTACAAGTTTACTACACATTGGGTAAAAATTCTTTATCTGTGCCTCTAGAGCAGGACTAGGTTGCCTAGTCAGACCCCTCACATTTCTCCCCAAGGTTTCCCTGGGAGTTGAATACATACCCACCCAGCCCTCAGCCAAGAGATCTAGAATCAATGCCTCATTCCCCATTCTCACCCCACGACTGAAGCATCAAGCAAGAAATTCCTCAAAGCAAACTTCATGGATTAGAAAGGAGATTAAAAGTGGGAGGGTTGGGCAGTTGACATGGAAAATGTGACCATCAGAAATGAACCTTCTTCCCCTACAGCTGGATCTCAGCAAAGAGGAACACTAATATATATCAGCCCTTGGAGATCAACCTGCAGACACAAAGTTACAGACAGAAAGACTCAACAACCACCACTGATTAAAGGTATAGGCAGCATAATTGCTTTTCCAATTGCAGGAACTGGTCTAGGCCTTCATCACCACAACCATTGGAATCTCCCCTGGGCTTGTCAGGGGCTGTGTGAAATTGCCTTTGGAGGGCACTGATCTGGTACTGGAGACCACTGGGCCATGTGGAACTGAAAAGGGTTTGTCTGAGTAACTTTAAAGATGACTGAAGCATTTGTGGCACTGGCCTGGGGAGGCTGTGTTACTCAGGGGTATCACCAGGTCAACCCAGAGACAGCCCCGTTCAGTTATTTTCACCACACCACCATGTAACAGTGAAATCAGTCTATTCTAGGGAAGTTTATATAATTGTACAGGGACTCTTTATTGTATCCCTTAATCTGTAACACAGGGTGCCTTAATTTGTTCAAGTTCTATGTACAGTGCTCAGAGGGCAAAAAATTACACCTGAAAATGTTTAAACACCTCTCAAAATGACCTAGTATGAGCTCTGCTAATAACAAACACATCATGACTTTAAGGTCCTGTGTCTCATTGCCCTTAAGGGATAAAAGTAGCATGCCACGCATCTCCCCTTTCTACTGGTATAGGGAGCCTGAGGGAGCTTGGCATCCAAATCCCATTGGTAGGTCTACAGATATTGGGCACCAAGCTCCCATCTGTGCCTTTCAAAATCTCTGCCTAGAACTCCTATTTCTAGCTCTGGAACCTCATGAAGTATTGTACAATCAATCTGTCCCTGCCCCAAGAAGTGTTATTTCTCCTAGAACAGGTCTTTGCCCTTTCTGACTCATAAAGGGACACATTCTGTATGTGAGGGAAAGGAAGAAATATTCTTATGGCAGCCTAGAAAGGTCCCCACCCCCTGGGCACTTCCTCATGGCTGGGCCCAGTACTGCAGTGGTTCTTTCTCAGTTTCTTCATCAGCTTTTCCTACCTGTGCTAGTGACTTGTGGATCTACCCTTCAGCCTAATTGTTATGAATGATCCAACCCTCCCTGCCAGGGTGCCAGAGACAGTCATGGTCCAGGACAAGCAAGAAATGAAGGAATATTTGCCCCATTAAAGCTTAGTCCTTTGTGCCCCTTGAAGGTTATTCATTCATAGCTCCATTTCATCCATATTCATCCATTTCCTTAGCTCACCACTCAGCCCAACTCTTTTTCCCATATAAGCTACATTCAAACGTGAATGATCATTACTGGACCCCAGGTAAAATTAAATGGGCCAATGCTAGGTCTGCTTTCATTCCAGGAAGACTTTGACCAGCCACAGTCCTGGTCAGGAAGGCCCCATCCCCAATGAGAGATATTTGTCTCTGCTCCTTCCCTGCCCACCTCCAGCTGCTTGAACTCTCACTCCTGTTCAGCCCCCTTCCACAGGCCTGACACTCATGACGTGCAGCAGGCAGGGTTGATTTTCCCCTCCCCACACTGTACACTAAGCCTTTCCAGCTTGCATGGGGATTGCGCTCACCATCACAGGCGGAGCGCTGAATCTGCTCAGGGCTTTCAAATGTCAGAACCGGTTCCAGTGGGAGATGGGGTTTATGAGCAGAGTGCATTTCACTTGCATGTTTCTGTGCCTCAGCAGCAACCTAGCCCAGAGTTTTCCACTTTCTATCACATCCTTTGCTCTGCCTCTTCTTCCATAGCCCTATAGTGTAGCCACACATGTGGCACCTGTGTGGAGAATGTGTCTATCACTTGCACTGAAGCATGTGTCTGTGTCTGTGTACGTGTGTGGCTTGCTTATATGCAGAGAGGTAGTTAGGCATGTTAGTCTGAAGTCAGTCGGAAGGCAAGATAGACATGCAGCTTTATAAACTAACTGAATAAGATCTAAAAGGAGAGCACACGCTTTCGTGAACCCAAGTTCACTTCATCAGTTGCTGTGAAGGGGCAGCACAGAGAAGAGTATGAAGTGGAGTAAGTGATTAGAATACAGTGAGTAGGAAAGCAGGAGCGAAGAGGAAGGCAGCGGGGAGTGCTGTGAGAGGGATCCATGCAAAGAACCCATTGGCAGCCAATCCTGAACAGGGCTGATTTCCTCTTGGGAAGCTGTGTGATTTTAGGCTGAAGAAGTCCATGGGGCTTTTCTTCTGTCTTTCACCTGAGCCTTGCCCTTCACTTTCAGGAAAGCATGTACAGAAGCAGCCTTGTGCCCTGCCCCCAGTTTGCAGTATCTGCCACTGTTGTTTGAGCAGAGCCCAAGCACAGATTGAAACATTTCTTCTCCCATGCAGAGGTGTTTCCACAGTAGCAGAGGTGGATGGCAGATTTTCACTACCAGTCCGAGGCCATGGACTTGGGAGCCCATGCCTATGCAGCCAAACATTTAAGTGCAAGCTTAATTTTGCTAATTAAATTGCATAAATGCTCTACTGGCCTGCAGCTCTGGTGCAGCCAGGGTATCTCAGTGCAGATTGGAAGGCAGCACAGCCTCTGAACTGATTTGTCTGTAGTCATCTTTTGACTGACATTTGGTTTCCCTTTCCTAAAGTTCAGTAAGCCCAGTCTGAGAGAGGAGGACTCTCCCCACACCTTACAGAAAACGATCCCTAACATATATGCATATTCCCAATACACACTTATCTCTCCCCCCACATATATACACATAAACACCCTGGAACAAACCAGCAGCAGATGCCAAACAGCATTAGTAATATGCCTGTATTATAGAGCATCTTTCATTGCAACATAAGGCATTTATGAAAATGGCTCAGGCTTGCTAGTGCTGATATTGGAAAGCGATTGCAAGAGGGTTCACGATAAGGGGCAACATGGGGATCAGGGTTATTGTCCAGGTGCTGTGAGAGGGGTGAGCAGGTTTGCTTGCAGCACTGGGACAGTGGATCTGAGAGGCATGTGCTCATCTGCAGAGTTGAAAAGGTTGATCCATCTGGGATAGCTTCCTAATGTATAATTTTACTGTTTAAAATCCAGCATGTGGCTGAATTCCAGCTCCAGTGGTAATTGATCTAGTAATTCCATTCTGCCAGTCTGACTTCCTGCCACAGATTCAAAGGCACGTGCTGGGCTTCACTCACTGTGACAGAGAGATGTAGGTGTAGCACAACTGTTCTGCTTCCACCTCAGAGGAAGTTGCATTTAGGGAGGATATGTTGTGGTCTTTGTACTTGGCCCCTGTGAAGCCCATGAGAGTTTTGCCATTTACTTGTGCATGTCTAGGGTTTGCCTGTGGTCTGTGCAAGTGCTTTGGAACAGAAGATATTCTGTAAAAGAAATATCCATTGCAGTAGATTATTGGAGTCAGTTGGTGACTGCTGGATTCTGAACCCAGAATTCTGGTTGTGTGTGTATGTGTGCATGCACTCATATGCATGTCAGGGTCAGGGAAGAAGCTATCCTCTGAATACACATGTTTTGGGATGGTTTAACTGGGAACTGTGGTGGCCCTTGCCCCTCACCTCTTTCATCTGTTCCTTCCTTTCTGTCTTTGGGTGGAGGTGTTGCATGTCATTCAGGTTGCCCAGCACCCAAGACCAACCAAAATCTTACCCTAGACAAGTGGCATTTTATTCTGTGCTTTCTACTGGGTAAGTCACTGCTCTGGACTTAGGAATCCTGGGTTCATTAACCAGCACTACATCTGCAAGTAAAACCAGCATCCCACTGCATTTTCTGAGTTTGTGGGAGAGAGGTGTTGATTTAAAAAATCTCAACCAGCTCTAAGAATTGCACAGTTCTTGAGGGACGATCATGATCTACACATGTCTCACTCCAGAGAATGACTGCCACATTCTTGTACTGACTAAACCCATCCACCCACCCACTTTCTCAGAATGCCCCTTCCAGGCTGCAAATTCCTTCCCCTTCCCTAGTTTATTGACCCAGTCTCAACAATTAACCCATCCTTGGACAAGCTGTTTCAGCTGCTGAAGACACACACACATGCGCATATACAGCACCTCTTCAAGTTACTTGAACCACCTTTATCCACCTGTTTGTGTTCTCTTATCCAGCAAGCAAGATGGCTCCCTGGCTCAGCTCCCAGCATGTCCTATTTGTGGGTTTTGTGGCTTGCTTATATGCAGAGAGGTAGTTAGGCATGTTAGTCTGAAGTCAGTCAGAAGGCAAGATAGACATGCAACTTTATAAACTAACTGAATGAGATCTAAAAGGAGAGCACACACTTTTGTGAACCCAAGTCTAAAGTCGTGAACCCAGATTCTAAAGTCATGCACATTAATTCACTGCCATCCAAAGTCCTTTTTAATTTTAGCATTAATGGTAAACACTTTGCAGGATCTTTCTACCTCATTGCACTCATTTTCATCAACATCTGCCCTATACATCAAATTCTACAGAAAGGAAGCAGTTATGTTTAATAAGTTACCTGTTTGTGGTTTTCAGGTCCTCACACAATACAATGATGATGTATTAAGTTACAAGTGACAGGAAGGGCAGATTCTCCTTGCCAGTTAGGGGTGTGGCTCTGATTCTCAGGGTTTGAGGGCACGCTGTGTTTAACATCTAATTGTATTGGGTGGGGCACTCTCTCAGGTGCTTCAGAATCAGTTTGGGAGAGAGAGTTCTGGGTTGTGGAAAGAGGATCCAGCCTGAGTCATTTGTATTTGGCCCAGAGATGTGGGGCTGTTTGGGTCCAGGAAGCTGGTTCAAGATCCCTGCTTGTCTCTGGTATCAAAAGGCTTTCTGGTGCAGCATCTAGGTACCAAGGACAGCTCCCCTGAAGCATGGGTGTTCTTACCCAGGAGAATATATATATAACCCCAGGCAGAGGAATGCAGTAGAGACACTATATGAACATACCTAATGGGATGGATGAATATCAGGTGAAGGCTGAACAGGCCCCCTTGATGTCTGTCCAAAGTACAGCAAAGGTGGCTATCAAGGCCCATTGGTTTCTTTTCAATCTTTTAAATCCTTCATTATGAGAAATGTAAGGACATACTCAGGGGATTTTGTGACCCAAATTTTTAATTAGCAAGTGAGATTGAATTTGAGGAAGGTGGGCACTCTGTTCAAGCATCAGCTGAATGTGCTAGCCAGCAGTCTTAGTAGACATGTGCTAGGGCCCTGCTGTACTGGAGTAGGCCAGAACAAGCCCCACGGACACTTGGACTATAACTGTTGCAATCTGAAGGCTTCTTTCTGGCTGGCTGGTTGTTTCTAACTACGTGTCATTGTTCTGATGCACTGTAGCAGGTATTTGAAGCTTGAGACCCCCTCAGATTAAGATACTATTTGATGTGGAATCCAGTTCAGGTTTTTTTGGATCCCCCTCATCTGGTCCCCACCCCCTCAATGTTGTCAGGCAGCTATAGAGTAGCAAAGGCCTGTGATACTTTGCAGCACAGCAAAACTGCAAGACATTCAAGAGCTGCTGAGCATTGGTTCTGGGGTCTTGAGTGTCACTGAGGCCATAGATTTGAATGAGCATGTCCTCAGTGGTATATGGGACCCATTTGTGCCCTCCCTACCCCAAGGACCCCTTTCAGTTTTCTGTGGAAATAGACTTTCATTTAAATAAACCGAAAGTTTCTCCGGCATTGAGAAGAATTTAAAGCAATGCTAGGATGGTTTGAGCTTGGTCTGAAACCCACTGAACTCAATGGAGAGACTCCACTTGATTCCCAGAGACCATGAAACAGGCCCTCATTGGGGGTACAAAAGATTTGAGGTCCTGGCTGGTGCTGACTGCTGCAAATCCCAGTGACAAATGGAAGCAAGAAATGCTCGGCACCTCTCTCTTGATCATCAGGTGAACATTACCCTACTCAGATTCACTACCTACAGCAATGAGCATGAAAGCAGTAAAGGTCAACATTGTCAACCATTTCACAGATGATCACTTGAGCTCTTGGGTAGGTGTAGCGTCATTACTGGGTTCCCCTAGTTATGATTCCAGCTGAGCCAGGGAGTGACCTGTACCATCCTAACATCTGATAAATACCTAAATGCATCACAGCCAAGTACTTCAGAAATGACCAGAAGTCAACCACTGTGGGCCCCTCAGGTCAGAGAGTCAGTCTTTGGTTCCTCAGCACTAGTAAGGTAATAGTGTTGTTGCTACTAGATCATTCTAAACCTCTCTTGGAAGGGCAGATCTCCCCATGGTACAAATTGTTAGGAAAGGAGGTGGTTGTGGTCAGGCAGATGTGGTGAGATGATGGTATTGTAAATAAGGGGGGAGGGAAGGGTGCATCTTGACCTTCTAAATGCAAAAAGATTTATGACAATAAGCCATGCTCTGTGTAAATACATTATTGGGGTGGGGGTGGGGCTCTGTGTGTGCATTAGTTGGGTGAAGGGAGTTATAAGGGGAGGGGTCTTGTTTCATGTTGATTTTAAAGCTTATACCTTATTTCTTATTCTTACAGTCATGACTGAGACCAGCAAGTGTGCAATGAAGTTTATAAGAGTTTTGAAATATTTCCTAGCAGTTTTTTAAAGACCTATTTTAAGGTTACTATCACTTCAACCCACGGTCTGGTCTCTCTCCCCTACAAAAGCTCTTAACTGTTTCCCCCCTATTGAAGGGTAGGTGCATATCCTCCTGCCCCTGGGAATCTAGATTGAGCACTGGTATGTGCCATCACAGAAAGGAGTTGGGCCTCTTTCAGCTCGGCAGCTGGCCATGAGACTTCTGGCTGGGCCATATCTAAAGGCTGGAACTGGGATCCAGTCATGGCTACAGATGATTCTCCAAGGAGTGAAGTCTTGATGCTGGATGAAAACAGTTGGCTCATTAGACTCTGAAGAATAACCCAGAAGTGGATTCAGGTGTGTCTGAATGCAGCAGGATTCAGTTTCAAAACTAGTGATTGCACCCAAAACTTGTAATGGGGCTGAGACAGAGTAGAGAGATCTGGCTAGGCATTTACACTGAGCTTATTGCCATAATGTCTGAGCAGCAAAGGAGGCTGGGCTGCCTCCATGCACCACATCATTCCCAGGTTAGTGTTGAAGTGTTGTGGTTTTCTCTGATTCAGAATGGAGACTTAGTCTCTCTCCAAGTGCTGGAGCCAAGAAGCTCAAATGATCTTGGTGGTAGGAGAGATGTGTCCAACTGGGCGCTAAAGCTTTGCTATAGGATGGAGACAGAGCCTCTCTCTAGCTGCTGATGCTGCCAACAGAAGGAGCTGTGCACTTTCCTGCTCTTAAATGGAATGTCCTGCCCCATGCCCACCTTCATGGCACAAGCACTTCCTAATGCATTTGGACTGGGAGGTGGAAGCATTTTCATCTTAGCGTGGTGCCCTTTGGACACCACAGGTGGAGAAAGGCGTAGGTTTTTGTTGGTATCTCCAACATAGGTGCCCCAAACTATTCCTTTTGAAACAGCCTTGGTCATGAGCAGGCATCAATTAAATGTACAGACTGGACAAGTTAGCTGGAACCACAAAACGGGGAAAGAGAATCTATAAAAGTCAAAGAGTCATTACAATAAAGCACTGAGGGACAAATGGAATCCATGTAACAGGAGCAGAATTTGCCTGAAATGAGAGCTTAAATATTGCCACCCATATTCTTTAGTAGCTCTCCATCAAGTTATCCTTGGATGAGCATTGTCATACATTATATAGCTACCAGCTGGCTCACTGAAAATTTATTTGAAGTTCATGAACCAGGTAACAAGCATACAGCAACAGCACAGAGTCTGAACCCAAGTAGAGCTTTTATTCATATATACTGGTGTTTTATTAACATATAGAAATTCTTTGTATGAAGGTAAACCATGCTGATGGGAATGGTTCTTTTCAGTGGCACTGTGAGAATGGACTGATTCCATCTACTTGGCAGAATCTATAATTTGTTTACCCTTGTAGAAGTGGTGAGATATGCCCAAGGGGTCATTGAATTTGAAAGCAAATGGGGACAATACAGTATCTTAGAGCACAGGCTGTAAAACCAAAAAAAAAAAAAAAAAGGGAAAAAGAGACCAGGAAAAAGACTACAACTAGGAGAGAGGATGTTTTCAAGGTACTTCTGCAACCTGCATACCCTTTTTTTAAGTCTCTGGACTAATTTTGCTTCTGTATAATATCTCTTCAATGGCCTAAAGAAGGTTTTACAGCCAAAAGAACCTTTCTTCACCTTGGATATATCCATAGGATACTTATTGCTGCTAAGATCTCAGCCTGTGGTCAGGCTCAAGAATCACTGCTGTACTTTGAGCAAGCTGTCCAAAACCAAGGGGACTTTTATTTCATTGCAACCAGAAGATGACCTTTTTGACTTCAATTGCCCTTCAACTTAGCAGAGGGAAAACTGAGAAGAGGGCTATGGCAGGACATGGGGAGGGGAGCATTTAACAAGAATTCCTTGCAGAGAATGGGCTATGACAGGGTGTAGAGAGAAAGAGGAAATCAGGACAAAGATGTTGGTGTCTATGTACAGATCTAGTGTTTCAAGATTAACCTGACCCCAGCTCAGTACACTCCAGTAAGAAGTGCACTGATACAGTGCTAGTACCCATGCATGGCTGGCAACTTGTTCCCAACCTGGTACTGTAAGACATCTAACAATGGTGAGCAGCAGTTGTTGCCTGTGGAGTTGGATCAATGCAGTTTTCATCTCAGTCAGTTTACGGAGTGTGGGAAGACAGGGTAAGAGGAAGCTGCTGATAACATGTGCTGTGTACTAAATAAGGTAGCACACAGCATCCCCCTCTGGGTTTTTTCAGTAGCCATGTCCTGGCTTATTCAGCCCGAGTTTGAGATCTGCTCCGGTAAATGTAGTTCTTATTGGCAGCCCACAGCCATGATCCCTGGAAAGGTATTGGTGCACCTCTCCCAGAGCCAGAGGCTGATTCCAACACTGCATGTTGGCGAGGTGGATATATTGTAACATACATGCTCATTTGGATCCAAAAAGGAAACAGAAATGACGACAACAAGAAAAGAGAAAAATGTAAAACTTTAATGTTTTTTGTCAAAGGAAAAAAATAAAATCTTGTTGTAAAGAATTAATTCAGTTGCTTGCTTTTATTTCTCCTTTTAGTACCCTAGTAGCACCTGCAAGTCTCAGATGAGTTCAGGGCCCTAGCATACAGGACCCTGGACAGACTCATGGTAGGAGACTACCTTGCTCCAAGAAGCTTATGGTCTAAAGGTCTGGAGGGCAGACAGACAGAGAACTGAAGTCATTTACCCAAAGCCAAAAAGCAACACAGTGGCAGACAGGTCCCTGGGGGTGGTAAATGCAGGTACAATGATGTAAACCAGCGGAGGCTCTGTCCCCATATCACCTGAGTCCTAGGGCCTGGACACACACATTGCTCTGGCTGACATGACCAGCATGAGGGTGGCATGCATAGACAATCTCTAGGGAGCTAGTACACAGTTTGTGCAGCCTCAGCAGTAAATTCTGCAGATCCACACAGTTCCTGTGCATTTCAAGGGGCAGCACTTAGATGCCTCCAGTCACCCAGAGGTGCATGGCCCTCCATTCATGCCAACAGGGAATTTTAATCTGTGCTGAGATGCCTTTGGTCATAATTCTGCTTCCCTCTAACTGCATAAGGAACACACATCTAGCAGAGCTTCAGACCTGAGCAGATAGCTGTTTACCTGGTCAGGAGCATGACAACCTTACCCCTCCAATAGCCTACTTGTTAGAGCACTTGTTCACAATATGGGCTCTTGTTGCCCCTACCACTCAGCTTCAGGTGACTTGAATCAACATCTATGCTCAGCAGACTGCCCTGACTACTAAGCTTTGGGGCAGACATGGCTGTGAGCAATACCCTCTGCCTACCATGACACACACATACCTCCTGTAGCTGGGGTGTAATGTGGGGGGCTAACTCCTGTTAGTCCAAGAGTGAGAAAGAAGCAAGATAGGTCTGCAGACAGTTATGGGCAGCTGAGCTAGTGCCATCTGCAAGAAAGTAAGCAGCCCACGGAAGACAGGGACAGAAGCCTATAAAAGTGCAAGTGACTACCGGGGAAGCTGCCCTGCAATAGGTTGCATAGGCCAGAGCTCCAGACAAGTAGTAAAGCAGAAATTTCAGAGCAACTGGATAGGCAGCAGAAGAAAGAAGCAATTAGTGGATAAAGGGGCCCCTATGGCCTAATTCTGGGAATCAGTGATCAGGTGAGGAGGAAGCGGGGCAGGGAAGAAATGCATCCCAGGGGGATATAAGCCCACCTTCTAAGCTAAAGAGGGTGCAGTCTGGTCTTGAGCTTTGCAAAGAGAGGAGCTTGTAGGAGTAAGGCTGCTAGATGGAGACCTACACGCAACAAAGGTACCCTAGAAAGCAGGAGACAGCTAGGAGTAGGGTAGGAATTGCTGTGGTGCAGATCCCTAGAGTTTGTTTGAGTACTTGTTTAGTTAAGCATGTATATTGAATGTTTACAGCTGTGAGGTTTGGGAGTGGCTAAAGGGGAAGCAGGAAGCCACAAAGAAGTATCCTAGGGGTACCAATGACTGCTTTGGCTTGCGGAGGCTGGTAGCTGTTTAAACTGTAGTAGGTACTGGATATCTTGGTCAGTGGGCCTAAGACTAAACTACTGGATAGGGCTAGTGAGGGAAACCCTGAGAGGGGCTGGTGGGAATTAGCCATGAGACTGGAGCTGCAGATTCAGGGGTCCAGTAGTGCAAGGCAGGACTAGGGACCTGATCCAGAGCTGCAAGTTGTCCTGCTTAGGGGACTGGAGTAAAAAGGTCATGCCAGATAGAGATTGCCCCATGATGAGCAGGGTGAAGTGAGGAACCCAAGGCTTCATCTTCCTCTGAAGGCTGCCTCCCTAACATATTAATGATCCAGCAAAGCATGGCAGATAAGATCACTGTGATACTCTGAAAGTAAGTGGGGCAGAATTAGTTTGGCCACCAGGAGATGCTATACCTGCCCTCTGGCACGAGCGGCACTCACCACGGTGAGTCTTGGTACTATTCTAGGTTATGTATAAGTAACAAGGGGTCATGGTCTGGCTCAGTGGAACTGCATCAATGCAAATAGGTGGTGATGCTGGCCTGTCGTGCTCTGAAAACAAGTGGCTTGCCAGGCATCGTTATGTCCACTCAATGCTTTTGGGGAAGTGGCCAGAGGTAAAACACAAGAAATGTGATTTCAGGAAAAATCTGGCAGTAGTGTCACGTAAGGCAGGCTGTCCTGGTGTAGAAAAAGCAAAAAGAAAACAACCCTGTGCTAAATAGTCACACCCCACCCTCCTTCTTGCTAGGGATTCTGAGTCATGATTTCCAAGAAGTCTTGTCTGCTTGAAGCAGTCCTGTGATGAGGCTTGCCACTCACAGGCCTTGCATACAGTGCCATCTGGGCATCCATTCCCTTCATGCAAAGAGGGAGTTTGCAGCAGAAGCCACCCCTTGTGAAGAAGCCTGCTCTCTGCCCCTAGTGCTCTTCCTGCAGATTTCCCAATGTCTGCAACACAGCATGAAAAAACAGCATTGATAGGGGGGGCTCACTTCCCCTCATCAGATCAGTGTTCACTTCCTGGAGGCACCAGCTTAGGCTCTCTTGCTTGTGGTCTTACTCTTCCCCTCTGGGTTTTTCTTCTTGGCTTTCCAGTGGCCTGCCATCCTCGGAAAGGTGCTCTCAGGGTTCAGATAACCCCATGACAGATGAGCCAGGAACGTGGTTCCCCTGGGGCTCTTTATCTTGGGTAGGTGCCTTAAGCATTAGGTTACTGTGCAGAAAATGGACATCCCCTCTATTGGTCAGTGTTGAACAGCCATCAACCATGGTATTTTTGTTTATTTTCTAAGCCATCGACAATCTGGGGAGTTACGGTAATACAGCACTTCTGTATGTCTGCGGAGAAGTGGGATCACATTAGAGCCTGGATGGAGTTTGATACCTCTGAGGGATTCCTGAGTTGCTTATGAGCATGTGCAGATGTTACATAGGTGAAAATCAAGTTATGTAAGGTGGTTTAGGCAGGTAAACATGACTCGAGCTATTATGTGAAGCAAAGCAGAGTGGGTTTTTTTAGGTTTCTTTAGATGCCTAAAAATTGTGCATCACATCTTAGCAGTCAAAGATGAGGCAGAACTTGTTTACAGCACAGTAACAAGGGTTAGTCACACAACATTTAGCTCTATACCTGTGTAACTTATGCCAGGAAAAATCAGGGAGAAAATAAGCCAGTGTGTAAACTGATATGTGTTTGTCTGTTTCCATCCCAGAGTAGCCATTTGCTTAATACAAACAGGCTGTTATAACTCCCCTACACTGCTTAAGGCTAGAGTACTATAATAATGTTTCTGGCATGCAGCAACCCCAGGTGAATTGGTTGTCTGTCCACCCAGGACATCGATGTAACTTAAATCAATGGCCAAAGTGAATGGAAGTTACCCATTTGCTAGTGTGTTCCTTGCCCTTGGTACCCTGCTGCCTCTTTTACCTATGCTCTCTAGCAATTAGAGAAACACCCCAAGACTGACCTTCCCTGTGGGACCAATAATTTAATTATATTGTGGATGCTCTTGCTCGGTGGTTCACATCTTTCTTTTCTGCATTGATTCTCGTTCCTTACACAAAAGAAGGTCAAAATTAACCTCTCTTTCTGTATGCTCTGTAACAAGCTCTTAATAGCAGCAATTGTTTACTGTGTTAAAAAAAAAATCTTTAAATCATGCCCTGGTGTAGGCTTTTCAGGGCTATTGTATTCTTCTCCCATTTTTAATTATGATTATGGACTTAGGGAATATCTCTGATCTCACTCAGCATCACTTGCCTGCTTTTACTCTTCTGCTCTGGAGGCTGCAGCAACAAATTGAAAGAGACCAACTAGAATTTGCTGGAGGCTTCCAAGTGTTCAGGTACAGTTTTTAGTGTACACACACATGAACCAAGCTGCAAACAAGTAATTGGAGGCAAACCAAGCAAGAGGTCCTTAACCCTTCTCTCCCTCCTTCCCCCACCCAAAAGAAAAAACAAAAAACACAGATTTAGGGCTTGATCCTACACTCATTAAAATTACAGTACACCAGAATAGGTGCACTAATGTTAAGACTGCGTTGGGTTAGTAAGAGTCACTGGGACTGTGATGCTGGGTGCAAGCTGACAAAATAATCAAAGTTGCAGATGATAAACTGCTTGGGTAATTACAACCTGGAGATAACAAGCCTTTTCTGTGTTAACAGACTAAGATATCAATTTAAATTCAAGTTACTTGACGTTAAATATGATCAGTGATCAGGTCACCACACTTCTAACTAATTGACTAATAACAGAGTGTGGGGGTGAAGGGGTGGTCTTTTCCTTAAAGGAGTGGTGGGGCTCTTGATTCCATGGCACGGGCTCTTTAAGTTTCCAGGTGGGATATCCAAGCACATAGGAGATGAGACGGATACTGTAGAAGAGGAAATAGCCCCAAGAATTAATATTT